TAGTACGTCCTGCAAAGGGAACAAGCTTAATTTAGTTAAGCCACAAGGTTGAGTGAAAAACAGCATGTTGCTGTTATTGTTTAGTCAATTAAATTGTCCTCTTCACTCTCAGGAGCTGTTCCACATTTATTACCAATGAGATACACACTCCAGCAGTGTTATTGAAGTCCTTGCTTTGGATTGTCTTATATTTAGCAAATCTAAAGATTTGAGAATGAATGATGGAAGACACAGTGATAAATTGTAGCGCTTTTCTAAAGATTCAGAAGTTCTAAAGTTCCTGCCAGTGACAGATGGTCTGTCCTTACTCATCGCTTGTCTTCCTGACAGGACTTGATTTTCTTTTTCCTTTTTTGCTCAATCCCATTACAGTAAGCCTAGCTTCTTGGGAGGTGGAATAGTTTCATTTGTTATAATTACGTGATTATGTATGGAAGAGGCATCAACTCTGTATGAACATGTACTATGCTCTTTTTACATTGTTAATGTACACTTGTATTATCATAAAAGAGAATTATGGGGTAAGAGGAAGAGAAGAAACAGATTACCAAGGGGAATCCATAATTCCATTCCTCCTGTCATCTTGATAACCAAATATACTAGAATCCCATTGGATAGGTTTTATTTCTTACTGACCTGCTACTTTATTTTGATAGCCCAAGCATAATATGACCCTTTAGATAGTGTTTCTTATTCATTATGGTAATAAATATTATTTTAATACCTTTAATATTTCATAACAAGCTAAAACTGTCTAATTTTTTTATTTAAAAAGTACCAGTGCTTACTAACTTGTAAAATATTTATAAGAGTCTACACAGTGAGACCAAGCAACTATAACAAAAAAGTGCTTGGATATGATATAGGTTCCAACTGGAAAAGAAAAGTTAAATTTCAATCAAATTGCTTAATTTCTTTCATAGATTTAAAATACGTTTACTGCTAAAGTAAGTGATGTTCTACTTACATAAGGAAGGTAGGAAAAGAAAATAATTTTCCTGTGGAAATAAATATAAAGGCTTTAAAAATTCTAGCATTTCTTAAAATAATTTCTAAAATTCAGAAGTAATTCAGTCTTTCAAGTTAGTAATGCCACTAGTTTCATACAGCATTGCATAAGCCCAAGTGTTATCAAGTGAAATAGCATTAATATTACTAAGAAATATAAAAATAATTAAGGTGAACCGATTCAGGATTTATAGTAGTTAGTTGTCTTTTGTTATATATACAAGGAGCTCAGAATTTCTTTTTATGTAGATATGTCTCTCCTAAGAATGTTCACTGTATATTAGCTCAATTTGATATGTGAGAAGCATAAACAACATTATCACTTTTTTCTCTTATCTTTTTTTTAATTCTACATCTACTGCAAGTTTTAACCTCTCTGAAAATATACATGTATGTGTGTGTATGTGTGTGTGTGTGTGTGTGTGTGTGTATCTTACTACCATACCTACACTAGTCATTTAAGTGAAAGAACTCAAAGCCTGCTGGGTTTCCAAGGTTTAGGTTATTGACCTCCCAGTGATCTTTTTATGCCTCTTACTAAATTCTCTTTCCATTTCTGATATCAGTTACCTTTTTAATCAGTGGCTTTTTAACATTGCTCACTTTCAGTAACATTCAATTACAAGAAATCAGAGAACTCATGCCAGCTCATTGGTTATGCATGAAGATGTTAACCTAGACCTGAGGAAATTATAGCCCTCTTTTAGTGGACATTTTCTCAGATAATAAATGGAAGCATTAACTTCCCTAATACAACATTACAACCCAAACTCTGCAAACTTCTGTAAAACATGATGTCACAGTAATACATAGATTTTAGTTATGTGTATTGCATATAGTTTGGTATATTATTAAAAAGACGAGACGTGCCTATCTTTTCATTCTTAAGTACTTGCTAGTATCATTTGTTTTCCTTCTCCATAGAAAAATGCGTTTGTTAAAAAAAAATCCTAAATATTTGATATTTATGAAAAGGCCAACAAATATTGCATGATTTTGAATTAAGATTGGGAAAAGGTGCATAGCTGAGATTAATAAAAATATTTACCATTAAATAAGATGGGCTACTCAACAAATAAACCTAAAACGTAATGTCCCAATATGACAGAGGTTTATTTCATGTCAGCCCAATACCACAGCAGGAAGTAGGGGAGAGGGATCTACTGCGTGTACTAGAGATATTGTGGCTCCTAGGCTCCTCTGGTTGTGACATCACTATTGCAGTAAACTGGAAGAAACAAAGAGCAGACACAAGCACACAAGAGATTTCATGGTTCAGGTTTGGAAGTGGCGTACATCACTTCTGCTCACATTCTACTGGCTAGAACTCACTCACATGGCCTTGTCGTTCTACCCTACAATGAAGGATGGGAAATGTGGCCTTATTGAATGTCCTGGTAGAAGGAGAAATAGATATTGGTGATCAACTTTCTACCACATGAATCCTAAATTTTGCTTAAAAATTGAGGTGAATTCAAGCAATTATGCTATTAATATTGTCTAATTTCTCTGTGGTATCCATTCACTTGTCCTTAGGGAAGAGTGTTTTTAATTTTATTTAGTAATCTAAAACATTGTAGAGATGACTGGGGGCTAATAATTTTAGAATAGTCAGTCTCACAGAGACCCCATAGGAGACCTGAAACCTTGAAAACCCATTAAAGATTTCAATAGACCTTTTCATTGAAATGCACATTGAGACATAGGGATGAATTTCAGCTTAATCATACTGAGGGTTCACAGATACCTGGTGCCCACCTGTGGTAAAGAGCCCCCAAAGTAGAACATGAAGATAAGATAAACGGTTCATTTATTTATCTGTAGAAATTGCTAATATTTTTTTGCTTGTAACAAATGTATACTACTAAAAGATCTTGTATTTTAATACTCATGAATAAAACCAAAGACAGGAAAAAGAGTTATTTCTCTGCTGACCTAAGCAAAGGAGAGTAGTGCAATGAGTAGAACCATGGCCTCAGATGAGACATTTGCCTTTCTTCTTTACTGAAACACAGAATCAAGCCCTGTGCCTCAATACCATGTCATCTATTTGCTTGAAAGTTTATTTCAACGCAAGGAGTGTGAGAGATGAGTAAATTTTATATTCTCAACAAATTACCTATATATTACCATTGTAACTCTTACCTTCTACTTAGTTCATAAATGCTGTTGCCCAAGATAACTTCTAACTTTACAATTTCTACAGGTAATGCAGAGTGCTCATAGATTAAATTGTGTTTAATTTGGTCACATGGTATAGATTGTCTAAATGAGGACAATTTAAAGTAAATTAAGTCATCACTCTACTACTACTATTGCTTCAGAAGTACTTTCAATCAATACCGCCAATATCTTGATGTTAACTTCTTTTTTCTTTGAATTCTTCCTATTTCCATAGTTTATTTGTGGTTTTTTTCCCCATGTGCAACATACTTCTCTTTACTTTGTTCATAAACCTACCTTCTTTGTTGTGAGCCTCTAATTTGTGGTCTTTTAAATTCTAGTGGAGTTCTCACTTATTTTCTAACATTTTTCATTATTGGTGATTTGTCCCTAAGATGATTGAAGAAAAATACTCAGAAAATTAGAAAAAAGGGTTACCATTACCAGTATAAATATTTTTTTTTTTTTAGCTAAAACCAAAAACTGCCATGGATCATATTTTCTACATTAAGTTTCACCTATAAGTTGAGCATGTATATATTACAAAAAAATGATAATAATTATAAACCTTAAAAATAGGTAACATATCCTCAATTCTCTGATAATGCATTATCTACACACCTCAGTAAAGTCATAGGGACCAAGGTGATGTACACTAGAATAGTATGAAATTTATACAAAATGTAAAGAATAAATATTCTGCAAATAATTATATACTTTGAGAAAACATTGAATTACATAACAAATATATTTCCAATTATATTTCTTGTGATTCAACACACCTTTTAATAGGCATTTGTCAGTAGGACAGAGTAACCAGCAGAATGCAATTCACACTTTATAACAACTTCTTGCTAGTTATTAGAAAGCATCTTCATTTGAAATCCAGTCTCTGAGTATTATTGCTAAAAATAACAGAATAATCCCTTACAAAACAGTCTCACCTATTATATGCCTATGGCACGAATCATAAGAACATGTCTTGGAATATGCATGGTAAGATTTGATAGAATGGAAACCTCAATACAAAATCTACCCCTACTCCTCACTCACATGCATACACACACACACACACACACACACACCTGAGGCTTACTTTTTCGGCTTAAGCCAAGAATCATTTAGAATAAATATGTCCAGAATTAGTCAGCCAAGATTGTTACCCATATATTGTTTGCTCTTTGTTTTACATAAATATTATTTCTTTTTATCTTGTGAGCCATCTAAAAGCTACTAAATTTTCCTGCCCATACTTTAATGCTAATATGTTGTTTATTGCTTTTAGTATTTTACATTCAAATAAGTTCAGAATTAGATCTCCTTAGAATATACATAACAAAGATTTTCAAGAGAACATAGGGCAGTTTACTTACTCAAGACAGTAGCAAACATATACACAGGGAAATACCAGAAAATAAGAATATTATTTTAGAGATAGATCGTAGAGAGCTATATACTTAGATATTTATCAGGGAGATAATAGAAAGTCATCCAAGTTTATTTGTAATAGGGATGTGATTTGAGATTTGAACTCTCGGTCTAATCACTAAACAGTATTACTTGTATGTTTTTTTCCTATTGAAACCTATGGTTTTCTAGGCTGTTGTTGAATTACGTTTTCAAATTTAATTAGGAGGTCTACAATGCATCTACATGTCAAATACAAATGCTTCTACAGTGTTTTACTAATAATATTCCATCTTCAATTGAATGATAAAGACCTTTCTAACATGTGCTTCATTTTTTGCCATTTGCAAAGTATGTCCATTGAGTTTGGTTTGTTTTGCATGATTAATTTTGACTGATAACTGGTTTATTTTCTATTCTAGGTTGTGGAGACTAATTTGGTTGCTTTTGACTGTCACTGGATCATTATAAATGAGGTAAAGCCAACTAAATCTTATTGTCAACTCTTTGATCTGTTTTCATACATATTGTCACAGCGTTTCCGATGGCCTCAAATTTTTAAGAGGAAACAGAACATGAAGTAAACTTTCAGCTTACTGAGTGAATGCTGTTAAATAAAACAGAATACGAAGTTTTTAAAAGGTATAAAGGGCTTCATATGAATAAAATACATGGAGAAAGTCTTCCCCACTGAGTATCTTTTCGCTTTTTCTGTTTGGCACATACTGCCTTCTTAGGGAGATCATCTTTATAAAAAGTATGCTTCCTTTTTGTAAGCAAAGCGAATTCCTCTCAGTGGAGTGCTTGTGTTCCATTTATATTTTAATGTTGTTTCTAGAACTTTTATATCCGCCCCCCTTCCATGAGGATTAAATAGTTCAGTATATGAATATGAATAAACAGAGAACAGATTTTTCCCGTTTCATAAAGAAGTACAACTGTTTTAAGATCCACAGACTTGTCAAATTCTATGTGAAAGTCTTGATTTTTGCAAAGATAATACATAAGGTTAAAAATATATTACAGCTCCAAAGGCCTGTGAAATAAGTAGTTCTATTAGCCCCTCTAGTCAGAAACAGAAAGGACAATGAGCAGATCAGTTTTGGACAAATAATATGATCATACGGATTTGTCCTCAACAAGACATAGTATTCAATCATACCCATTATTTATGCATAAAGACAACGCATTATTTACCTATGATACTAAATATGGAAGTATAGAATAATAAGATTTGTTTTATGGACAAAATAGTATTTTGGGTAAGAATTTTGGTTTTGCAGTCAGCAAGATAGGTTCAATCTGACTATAAAATTTGTCAGCTTTGTTACCATGGAAATAATCTTTCTGTGCCTGAGTTCATTAGTTTGTATAATAACATTTACGTTACAAGTTCATAATACAAGTTAAGTGAGATATTATCTAATGCTCTTAACACAATGCTTGCCGAATGATATTCAGTCAATGGTACTGCAAAAATGATATCACATTAAAGTTCACAGATCACTTTTTCATACATTATTTTTTGAATACTACACATTCTTCTATGAAGTACTGAGGAAATGAGATACACAGAGGGTAAATGATTTGCCTCTCCTTACATAGAAAAGTAAAAATAATTGTCAGTTTCAAATTGTTTCTCCTACACCACACTTCACTGATGGAATGGTTCTTTTTAGCTCAGTGTAAAGACACTGGAAACATCTTAAAAATCTGTTTTTGGTCTGCCGAACCTGAGGTTTATATGATTTGTCACTGTAGTTCTCCTGTCAAATTAAGATATGTTTTTCTGAGATTCCCATGGGCAATGTGTATATGTGAGATCAGCTTTTCAGTGAATTTTTGATACCTTCTAATTTTTCTAATACCTCTTAATTTTCCATCTAGAATGACTAAACATCAGGATAGAGGGAAGGACAAAGGAAAGGGAACTTAGCAAACCTTCATGATAACTTTCCAAATTAGATATTTTTCTGCAAGGAAACTAAGTTTCGAAGAATTTAAACAAGTCACCAAATATTATACAATTATTAAGGTGATAATGGGATTAAAAGTCAGTCCTTTTCATTGTAAAGCTTTGGTTGGTTTTGTTTTATTTTTTGATAATTATCCCTTAGGGTTTATATTTTTGAAATCTCCACTACCTTAGTTGTAATTTTATGGTAGCCATTTATCCCACTACCTTTGTCTTTGGTTTAATTATTTTCTAGATTACTTTTTTTAAAAATAAAGAATCCTCCTAATCCCTTGTTTTTATCTCACATCTAAGATCTGATGGAGAATATGCCACACAGATTTCTTGTTGGAAAGCAATCTGGAGTCATTTTACTTGTTCATGTCAATAGAGCTGACTAGAAAAATAAGGTGACTTCTTGCCTCTTTAGAAACATAGATTAACCAAAACATTTACAATCATTAAGTAGAAATGGCCATTTCCTTCTGCTTTTGGATAAGATTTCAGAAGGAACCCCTGAATTAAAACTTTTTTCGTATCCAATTTAGTTTCTCCAACTATACCTGAATCCTAAAAGTACGAACCCAAGTAGAGATACCCAGAACACCATGGCCATTTATCCACTGTTTAAAAGTCAATATGCTCTGTGGAAGAAATTGCTCCTTCATATTATATAGGTGTAGCCTGAAAGACTAGCATGTAATTTTGTTAGTGACAAATAGCGTGGAAAGAATAATTTTATTTCATAAAATATTAGGCGGCAAAATATTGTCCTTAAATGGATTCGCTATAATTTGGGCCACTATTTTACAAGATAAAACACCTGCATAAACAAAGCAATCTAACTGGTAAACAAAGCAATCTAACTGGTAAACATTTATAGAAGATGATATAGAAGACCTCAATAATTGTCTCATTTTTCAGACTTGGGTTTTCTGCTGTAAATTGTCCTATCACTTCACCTTCACATCACTGAAACCCTTATCTCTTTAGTCCTTGAGCAAAGGTGTAATTTCTTTGGGGCAGGACAATATTGCCTAGCTTCTGAAAATTACAGTGTCCCCAACCCATACCATTTACAATGGTTATTACTTTTACCTAAACTAGGCTAAAACTCAGAGAATGAGCGTGTTTTTTTTTCCTCTAAAAAAGACCCATCATCAGCCAGTATATCCGAGGTCACCACTCTTGCTTTTGCATAATTCCATTTAGTCACCTTATTCTGTCTGAAATATACACCAGGAAACTTGATTCTCATTCTTTTCTTACACATTTTTCATTTACATGCTTGCCTAAACAAATTTATAATGGGTAAATCATAATTTATCCTAGTTTTATGTAAAAGAGGCAACACGAATTTCTCAAATTTGCTAAGGAGCTAATAAACTCTAAATGTAACAACAACAGCAAAAAATTCAACAACATGCAAATGCCCATTTTGACTGAAAATGGAAAACACGAATCTGTCTAGTTTGGTTTGTATAGCTATTATTTTGTTGCTAATTTTAAAATGAGTTGCAAACATTTATTTAATCTTATTGCACCAATAGTTTTTTAGAGAGGGACTATAAATCAAAGTTGGCATAGTGCATCATGATACAAATTGATACAGAAACTTGAAAACAATATATTTTTTTCATTTGTGTTAAGTGTACTATAATAATGAGAGGCTCTACTAGCTCATATGGTGCAATCAATCATATGTTAGTACTTGGTAATGGTATTTATCTTCTCCCTGCAATCAGTGGATCCAGCTGAGAATAGCCTTTCCATATAAGTATTGTCATCCCTTCAGGGCCCTGAAGCAGATGGGCTAGCACTTTATTTAAGTTTTACAAAAGTTAGATAGGAAGATGTACTCTGTTTAGAGCTGCAAGAAGCCTAATGCTTTATGCACCCTTCCATTCTCAGATAATATGGAATCTGACCTTTGGTGTCCTGAGGGGCTTTTAGTTACATCTTACTTAAATAATCTAAGACATTATTCTGTTAATCATTACTGAGTATTGCACTTAAGGAGGAAGTTGTTGGTTTGGGAGTTTTTGTTGTTGTTGTTTTGAGATTAATAAAGTCTTAATGGATGTTTTTCAATTTTTTTTCTAATTTAGTGATGAATTGAACTGCTCACTACTAACCTGTCAACCAGAAAGTTACCATTCTGTTTCTCTTCCTGTTGGTATATAGCCTACAGATGGTTTTGTTCCATTTTTCAACATGATGTTGGCATAACTGCCTCACATTAATGTTAAACTTTATGGATGTATCAAAGGGTCATCTTTGATAAAGTATGAAGAATAAAAACAAATTAGAAAAAAAAAACACATAATCTTTTCATCTATGCCAGGTAATAGACTGATTAATCTCATTACTAAAGTGATTATTCAGAATTGTTTAACACTTTTAAAGCATTCCAGTGTATAAAATTAAAATTTCAGGTATAAATCTTTAGAAGATGGTTTGGTAAAATCTTGCCATTAATTTATTATATTTTTTATTTGTCAACATTTATTGAATACTTACTATGAGCCAGGAACTTTGTTAGATACTAAGAGGTAAAAAAAAAAAAAAAAAAAAATGGAAAAGAGGGTAAAATGATGGAATAAAGGTGAAATAGGAAACTATTTCTTTGAATTTTTTCAGTCTAAATTGGCATCTGATGTAATGGATTTTGAGAGTCTTTTCTTCCCCCAAATTTTATTAATTTAAACCTAAAGCTAATATACTACAAGGATTCAGCAATGATTTGTTCTAGAAAGTGGCCGTTTCTAGATAGGGTTGTATATCCAGCAGATACTGTAACTTTTCTTTTTCTTTCTTAGGTCTTACATAGTTCAGGATTATTGAAACAAAAGGAATAAGAATATTTTGTTGAACAAATTGACTAGTTTCTTAACAATTTTTAATTATTCAGGTAAATTATTTTGGAAGAAACAGACTTTATGCTTTGCTTCTAAAGAAGTAAAAAAGAAAATTCAGGTACACTAAAATATATTTACTTGTTTTTCCTTACAATATCAATTCTACTTTTATAAATATACTCAATCAAATAAAGAATACTAGAAGGAAAAATAGGACAGATAGTTTTATAATTCAGATTCTTTAAGTTCTTCAAAGCTCGGTAATTCTGTATTTCTTTATAGACATTAGCATATTTGGTAGTACTGGGGACTCAGGAGAAAGAGGGCTTGTTTTGTAAGCTAGTTCTTCACATAAGTAATTTTAAAAATCTGACATTATTTTAAAAATTCATAGCATCAGAAAATACAGATCCTAATAGATTGTATAAGTTTCACATTTTAATATAGAAGCTTACGTATTAATTTTTTTCTATTTAAAAGGATCTCTTTATAGATTAAGTGATCACTTCCATGTTTATATAGCATTGCATCTGCCGCTCTTCAAATGCATCTTTTGAAATGCAGGAGTAAAGTTCTGCAAATGTAATATAGCTGCATAATCAAGTTTTCATATCGCTATCAAACTTTTTGAGATCAAGTGTCAAAACTAAAATTATAAGTGAATTTTTTGAGACAGTTTCATTCAGAATGGCATATTCTTTTCTCCCAGAAAATAACTTTCCTTTCTCTTCCCAAAACAATAATAGGCAAATTATACTCAATCCAAATTGACATTTCTTCAGATACACTTTAGTTGCTTAGGTACCTGAGAACATCAACTTTTGGAACCTCGAAAAATTAACTATCCCTTTTTATGGGTTTGAAAATCATCCTCTCAAAGGCCTTTCTCATAATAGATTGCTTTGTCATTCCTATAGAATCATCAGGAAATTATATGCTGAAATAATGTATACTTATAGTTTTAATTTCTATCATTCATAAATATTAATCTAAAGAATTCTTTTAAGGAAATATGGGCTTCTTGTATAATTCCTTCAGAGAGCATTTCTTTTGATAACATTCATATATTCATCCTATGAATAGAATATTTTGAATAAAAAGCTTGGAATCACCCTGGTTCTTTATTTGTAAAATGAGAATAAACGGTATCTGATTCAGAATATTGTCTGTTAGCAGAAAATGAGATAATAGCTAAAGTAGTTAGTGTTTTGCCTAACATATAGTAGGCAATTATTAAATGTAAATATATATTCCACTGTGGTGATTTATAGTTCATCATGGTTGGTATAGATAGAGATGATGTTTGATAAAATGTTGATAAATTTTAGTATTGCTGAAGAAAAATGGACCATATATATAATAAAATTTAATTAATATTATGAGAAACTGGTAAAATCTTCCATTTCCTTTTAAATGAAAATTTCTGTCTGCACAGTATAAAATTTTTAAAATATGGAAAGACATTGATTAGCAATATTAATATTAATTAACTTTAAAAGGTGTCTGGTTAAAGTTAGAGCTTAAAATGGAGTTGACAGGACACTGTTTAATTCTTTGTGAGTAGATGACAGAGAATTAAAAAGCGACCTGTCTTTGCCAGACAGAGTTTTTGGTGACCAGGGAAATGACACAGACTAAAGGAAAAAGACTGCATTTTAAACGGAGAAAAACCATTTTTATGGTACATTAAGAATTGATTAATCACCCAGAAATCTAGGATATTACACTGGATCTAGCTGATAGCAGATATTATTTTATTTTCAGAAAGTCTCTATTTCATAATGATAAAAAAAAAGATAATTTGTAAATCTAACATACACTACAAAGAAGAAAAATACTCTTAGTCCAGTAAGAAAGAAAGAAAATTTATACCTGTGAATTACCTTTTTCTCTTTTACCTTTCTGTAATAATGCCTTGGATCAAAACTAAGAAATTTATCTTGCACCAAATCTTTTGTTTCTGTTGCTTTAAGAACCTATTCAAACCAATAGCATGTTAATCTCACAGGCTTCATTAATTTAAAAGGTTACAAAGGGACACCATTAAGCACAAACAGCTTTAGTAATGATTACCTCAAAACTGAAATTATTTTGGTTACTTTTATTCTAATTCCATTCGAACAGATGTATGTTATAAAAATATTATTTCATCCTTATTACTTCTACACCCATGACTAAATCTAAGTCTGGAGTTAGGAGATGGAGGAAGAAGGAAGTAGCAATTACAATTTTTTGAGTTTGGCAAATAATCATATGCAAAACTAAATTCATTTATATAAAAAGCATTAGGTTTCTTCCTTCACTCATCCTGATTCAGACTATATTAAAAAACAGAATTTTTCATCTTTATGTAGACCACAATTGTCAAGACCACAATTGTATAATTGTGGTCTACATTTGTCTAAAAGCAAGTACTTCGTTTAATCTATTTGTTTACCAAGAAAAACATGAGTTAACACTAATAGTTCTAATAAATAATTACAAAAAGTCTTAGAAAATAATATCGCCTCTTGCTCTTTTTATTTTAATCATTTAAAAGCCTCATTTCATTGCTAAGAAAAATATATATTACACTTACATTGCATCTATCTTCCTAGGTACTCAAAGTAATAGATACTTGAAATCCATTAATGAATAATAAAGTATAGTAGCAACTTCTTTTGTGACTTTTTTAATGTTTTGATCACACCTATATTTTTCTAAAGTGTTCAACATAATAGCTTATAAACTTACTAATAAACCATATTTATGTCGTGTTCCATTTAAAATTGTTTAGGCACTAATATATGTCATTTAAAGCTGTGGGTTCCAGCCCCCCCCCACCCCACATCTGCCCTGTGTGTGTGTGTGTGTGTGTGTGTGTGTGTGTATGTGGCAGGTTCCTAACAGGCCACACAGCAGGAGGTGAGTGGCAGGGAAGTTTGATCTGTATTTACAGGCACTCCCCATAGGTCCATCACTGTCTGAGCTCTACATCCTTTCAGATCAGTGGTGGTATTAGATTCTGCATTATGGTGAGTTGTATAATTATTTCATTACATATTACAATGTAATGATAATAGAAATAAAGTGCACAATAAATGTACTGCGCTTGAATCATCCTGAAATCATCCCCTCCACCCGTGGTCCATGGAAAATTTGTCTTCCATGAAACTCATCCCTGGGACCAAAAAATTTGGGGACCATTGATTTAAAGCACAGTCAAGAACTACAAATGAGTTGATCATTTTAAAGAAAATGTGTTGTTTTCATTCAGATGTGGGCTAAACATTAAGCCAATGTATTACAGTAACAGAATCCCTAACACATTCAGGTAACAACTCTTAAATGGTTTTGTGTTTTTGTTACTATATTATTTCTAATTCTTCCAATTCTTATCTTATCTTATAGGAAATAAATGATGTGGACGTACAGGAACTTGTAAGAAGGTCAATTGGAAGGTTAACGATTATTCGGCAGACATTTCCAGTCCCCCAGAATATAAGTCAGCGATGTTTCCGTGGCAACCATCGAATATCTTCAACACTGTGTGATCCAAAGGATCCATTTGCTCAGAACATGGAGGTATATTCTAAATGCTAGTATATTTCTCCCAGGGTGCTTTGTTGGGCGATTACAAGAAGAGCTTTTTGAGTTGTATTGGACTCAGAATTATATGTATTATCATTTCTGAACAATTCTCTCCAACAGTTTATTAAATCTGATGGGGAGAAAGTGCTAAGAAATATATTTTTATTCTTTTGATTTCATTATAGAAAAGTATCTACTTGTTTAATAAAAGTATAATAAGAAAGAATTATTTCCACCTAAACAAGGAGATCCATAGCACTTCCCATGGGAGAATTTGTAATTGATATTCCTAATGCCAAATTTCAAATTATTAATAATAAATTTGCTTGGCTTTTCTGGCATAAAAAAGACATAAATGTTTATTTTTTTTTAAAAAAAAAGATTAGTCTCCAGTTTTAATAATTTCAACAAAAAAACTACTGAGAAATGCTTGAAGCTCTGACTCAGGTGGGGCAAAGGCAATATATATAATCTAGACAATTGTATCCCCGTAATATGCTGAAAGAAAAACAAATTTTTTTCAATGCAAAAAGTGCTATAATGTTATATACTCATATCCAACTCCAATAGTATATAGTTGAAAGCTTCACCATCCAGAATACAACAAAGAATTTGAAAGTAAATAAATTAAATCTCTGAACAGCAAAACAGAGAACACCAAATCCCTGCAGCTTACTCATAAGAATGCCCTTTAAATACTCACTTGAAGCCTATTTCTTTTTTCTTAAGGAAAATCTTATCAGATTTTTTTTTCTTTACACTGGAGATCTCCATAAGTCAATGTGAAGGGTGTGTTACAAAAAGCAGGCACACTGACAACAGCAGGGATCCCTAAGAAGTGCTCACTAGCAAGGCAGAGACAGGAAAAAAGGAATCAGATACACTACCTCATATATCCTACCATTGTAGGACTTTCCCTGTAAAAACAAATCTGTATTATGAAGCAGTTTCTAAAGGTATCACATTAGTATATCAGTTAATATTTACATAATAACTCTGAGATATCAGCAAAGTTAATGTCATGGCCAATTTCAGAAGTCAGAAAAACATGATATATTTTATAAACCTTTTCTTTAAAGTGTTTACTATGGACATTTTAGTACTTAGAGACATTCAGTTTTAACAGTTTAGAAATGTAATCCTAGGAAATCTAGTTCATCTCCAATATTACTAGATAAATAAGGTGATTTTGCAAAACTACTCCTTCTTTTGAAAAATAACCCACACCCTCCGTATCCTTAGTCACCTTTGAATATTTTTAGATGATTTGCCATTTATCCAATCATTTTCCCAATTCTCATATCACCATAATGAGCAGCCTGGCTCCAGGATCCTTGCCCTGGAACTTTCTGTTCCGTATGGATTTTAAGCTCCTTTACAAATAGCTACCTTTCAGGATCTGGCATCATAAAATTCCATAATGTACTCCTCCATCATTTTCTCTATCATACCCACCACAGTGCTTTGCACCTTTGTGAATACTGGTAGGTTTGAACGTAGTTAAGGAGAAGGCAATGGTGAGAGTAAGCTACTCTGAAGGCTTAACAAGGACTATTCTAATTTTAGTGCCACCCTTATTGATATGCTTTAATGGCTCATCTTTGCTTATTAACTAGTCTTGAGTATAATTGATATAAAAATAATAGAATTTTAAATAAAGAGAAACATGAAAGAATTTTTGTTTAGAAAATTGTGAAATATTAAAAGCAGTTTCGGTCAAAAGAAGTAGCAGGAAAAGAAGTAGGAACTTAAGAAAAATTATTTACTGTGTCATTTAGGGAAAACAAAATATTTTACAGCACATTTACCTAACAACATAATCTTTCAATTTCAATTAGTGAGATCCTTGATATCAGGGAATAAATATTTTATTTCTCCCTACATTTTCAAATTTAACTGATAGATTAGGCTGTGCGGAAGCACCACTTTCTCCTTAACCCACAACTTCATTTTATTCTCCCCAAACCCACAGATGGAAGAAAAGGAGACAACAACCTTTTCTTTGAGGATTTGTTAACTTTCCTCTTATGTGTGATAGAATTTGACTATTTAATATGTAAAATGAAAACTGACAGAAACAACTGATGATTTATATAATTAAGAATCTCAATTCAGGGCTCTTGAATTTAAAATGTTCCACTAAAAGTAGAACAGTTGATATACAGCCTTGCCTTGCTGAAAAAAAATTTTCATGCTGAAGTCAGAGAAAGCAACAAAATAAAATACTACTTTGAATTAACTTCTGATCAACAGGATACCACTGACTGATAATTTAGGAATAGGAGGTTCCCTAGGAGAAGTAATTCTCTCAACATGAAGTCTATAAAACAATTCAAGTAAATATGACCACAGACAGGCTTATACCTTAGAATTCAGAAGGGTGCAATTAAAATAATTTCAGAAAACAAACAAGTATACAAATGTGACAAAAGTCAACTTTCAAAATAGAAACGTAACATAAAATTACATCAATCGACAAGAGGAAAGGTAAAGAGGGTATATGAGCCTGTATAGAAATCTCTGGGTTGTTACTTAGTTCAATGTACACAGAAAATGAAGTAAAATTAAGTGAAAAAAAAAAAAAAAAAGAAATAAAGTTTCACAAATCTTTAAATTTGTGAAGATTTTTTGATTTTGTGAAGAATTTTTAAATTTGCCAGAAAGACTAAAATTCACAATTATCTGAGATTTTAAAATAAATATTAAAGAATACCTTTTAATTAGACAGCAGAGTTTTTAGCTGTGTATGAAACAAGGAGGAAGCAATCCCTTTACTGAATGGTGACACTAAGTTAGCTTGGCTGCTCATGGAGAGAAAATAGAAACATTCAAATCTGTTTGCTTCTGCTTTCTCCATCCCAGGGAATTGTCTTTGACTTGGAAAGGTTAGAATAAAAGTCATTAAAAGAAACTAAACCACTGGTTTGAAATGAAGAGGGATTTGGAGATGATAAGTCTGCCTAAATGCTCTGAATTAGGCCTAACAAATAATTGCTCAGAACAGCCAGCCAACCAACAGAAATGACCACAATATTATAGTTTAGAAATACTAGAAAAATACTTAGGGAGAATACTTAGGGAAAAAATACTAGAAAAATACTTAGGGAGAAAATCTCTACTCAGTGATTGGTATATTGTACCAGTTTTCAAAAGGAAGAAAGAAAGATTCTGACAATCATAGTTTAGTGTATTAAATGTTAATATTTTAATAAACTAAACACTATATTATTAAATAAATGTTTTGAGGTACTCAAATAACACAATGCAGCTTCCTTAAAAACACATATTGACAAACTAGGCCCTTATTAATAGGTTTTTTAAATTAGGAGAATGTCATAAAGCTATGTATTTTGTGTTGATTTTTAGATGGTATTTAACAAATTTTCTTATTAGTCTAGATAGAATGATGCCACTCAAACATGTACACCAAAGGGCTCCTAAGGGCAAACACTCTGGGCCAGGTGTGGTGGTTCATGCCTATAATCCTAGCACTCTGGGATGCCGAGGCAGGAGGGTTGCTTGAGATCAGGAGTTCAAGACCAGCCTGAGCAAGAGCAAGACCCCATCTCTACTATAAATAGAAAAAGTTAGCCAGGCGTGGTAGCGCTTACCTATAGTCCCAGCTACTTGGGAGGCTGAGGCAGGAGGATTGCTTGAACCCAGGAGTTTCAGGTTGCTGTGAGCGAGGCTGATGCCACTCCACTCTACCAAGGGCAACAGAGTGAGACTCTGTCTCAAAAAAAAAAAGATAGTAAATACTCTGACCTCAGATAGTAAAAAGTAAGTTCCAAATATTTTGTCTCATTGTTATTTTTAAAAGTTATAACATGTATGTTATTATAAAATTAAAAGTGGTATTTCAAATAATTTGCCAATTAAGCTATTTGTTTTTCTCCAAAACTTTAAACAAACTTGGTACCTAAATGTACCACTCAAATCTTCAAGTAATATTGATATTCCTAGAATATGTCTTAAATATAATCTGTTGCTTTGAGTACTTCCTGGTTTCTACAGCCGGCTACCAGAGGTTCTTTTATTCTCATTTTGAAAAGTGTGGAACCAGAAAAATATCCAAAGTTCACTGACAAATATTCTACTCTTGAAATGCAAGTAATCTTGATCATCCATAAGATTCTGTCCTTGGACCCATTATTTTCAAAAAGATTATCAGTACATGAATGAAAATGCATAAAACATGCCTATCAAATTTGTAAATGATGCAAAGCTAATCGAGAAGGCTTATGTTCCACTACACACATAATCAAGATCTAAGTTGCTAATATTGACTGACTAATAAACTTAAAAGTTGAAATTTTACAGAGCTAAAGTATAGATTTAAAATCAATTATGTGACGCCTAGAATGAAGATTCCTGGTTTGTCAGCTGTTCAAAGCTGTTAAGTTGAAGGCAAATTCAGTATGAGCATAGCATAAGTCATATTTGCTTTAAACCATTTTAACAAAATCTTGTTCTCTATGTCAGAAGAATTTTGCTATGATCAAGAGAGAAAATGTCTTATACTACTCTTTCCTAGTCACATCACATCTGCAATTATGTGTCAATTCTATTAAATTTTTTAACAGAAACATGGAAAAACAAGAGAAAGATAGAGGAAGAGAACTCCTCCTCTGTGAGGAAGATGATGAGCAGCCTACAAACTATACCAGACAGTGAACAACTGAAAGAAAGGGAATGTTGCAGGGAAAACAATAGATGGTATCAAATACTGCTTGCAGGAAGGCTGTTATATAGAGAAAATAGGTGCTGGAGTGTCAGTGATGTCAAAGAACAAGTGTAGTGACTGCAAGGTAGAGAGAAATGATTGGTTGGATGTGGGATACTGGAGTTTAAGATTTTAGAGATGTATGTTTGTTTCCAGTGAATAATCATTTGTGAGGGTTGTGGTAAAGTAGAAGTGAAAATCATCTGTGTAGAAATTGAAGTGACCTTTTTAAATGCCAAGAGATAGTTTGGGATCACAGTGAGGGAAGAGTCAAAGACCTCAGCAATAACAAGTGACCAACAGGTCAGTCAGTGATGGCAGAAAGGAGCAATAAAGTGTAGCACAGGAAAGACCATGAACTACAAAGGAAAATGAGTACTGGCCTGAGAAAGAAGTAACAGATTAGAAGGGGTTAGAAGGGGTAATGTAAAGCTCAGACAATGTCATGACCACTTCTTGAGCCTGCAGTTTGGAATGTGGGCAAATGAAGAGAGGCTGTGAAAACACCTATCACATAGTGGGTACAGAGAATTCACCTTTAAGACCAGCATAGATGCTCAAAGTGCATGCCTCAAGATATGCAAACAAAACAAAATAAACAACAACAAAAAAAATAGTGTCACAGAAATATCAGGTTTGGATAAAACCCATTTTACCAAATTCCTCATGTCTTGACTTCTGTCCAACCCACCTGGCTTTAAACTTAACTTTCTTTTTTCCTCTCTTGCCATTCTTTGTCTTCTTTTATTCAGTGCCTGTTTATAAAAAGACAAATATGTGCTAGGCTTTCGGCTAAGTCAAAGGGAAATAAAACATAAGAGGGAAAAAATATGTATAAAGTCCGTGTCCAGAAGGAACCCATATTCTAGTACGAAAGGCAGATTTTAAAAAATCTTAGCATTACATATAACATGTTTCAATAGAGGAAAGCACTGAGATCCTAGGAGGTAAAAGAGGACTGTTCAACGTAGCCCAGGATGGGGAGAGAAGATGAGAAGTAGTCAGGGTAGAATTCTCCTAGCACATAACCTTTGAACTAAATATTGAAAAATGTTACCTCCTTGGAGAAAGGTAAATGGCTATCAAAGGATGCTACCATGCCGATCTCAAATGCACACTTAAAGCAATCAGTAAGAAAATTGCTCTGGAAAAGCAAAATAAAGCCAGAAAGATAAGAGGAAGCAAGTTTGAGGCAATGGAGCCAGGAGAGGTTAGAAAAGGCCAGATAATTGTGTATCATTTTAAGAAGTCTATTAAAAGATTTTCCCTGGATTATTGGGTACAGCCCTTTCATCCATCATGTTTCTTCTACATTTTCCTGTTAGGTCATCACAATCTAATTCCAACTTGAATTTTGATTTGTGGGCTACTTTTAACTTCAAGTCTCACATTTTATTCATAGCAGGTTTCAGCTATTATTTTCTAGTCTGTCTAGTACTTATTTGGCAGGATAGGGTGAGAGTGGGGTGGGGTGAAAATAGCCAGCCCTAATAATCCCTTGTAAAGCACCAACTTATATTTCACATAATGCATGAGTGTGCAAAGTTTCTTCAAAACAAGACCTAACTTCCATAAGTATTACACATATAAAATGATGCTTAACAAACCAAAAGATTAAAGATTTACATGGTATGCGAAGGAAAACTCACAAGGCACTGTTTGGAAGCTCTTATAAACAGCTGTGAATAGCATCAAACACTAATTTTCCCAGTAGCTGAAGCTTAGTACCATCCTGTGATGGTATTTTAAAAGTTTCTTACCTGATTAATTATAACCAAAGGGCAATCCACATACTCCTCCCTTTGTTTATTAGGAAAAACTACAATAATACATTTCTAAAAAACATGAGAAAATCTAAATGCTTTATGATGGAATTAATTGCTACATTCATTTCTAATTCTTTATTTTATATTGAGGTTTTTCCTTCTAAGAGGTAATAATATAACATTTAACAGTTTTTATTGACCTAAGATAACTTTTGGTGTTTCTGAATAATTTTTAATTTCTTTGAAAAATAAGCACCTTTGGTAATTAATTGGCAGCATGGATAGTAGCTCTGGCAAGACTTAATTTTAAAAGTGCAATAGACCTTAGCAAAAAATGGCTATAATTCATTTTCCATCTAAGTAGAAAGAAGATAATAACATGGTTACCTTAGAAGAAGAAAGTGTTAATGTAAGCATACATTCACATAGAATTAATAATTTATGATATTTGTCACATCAATGAATTACAATGCATGTGTATGCTTATATAACTTCATGTAGGTACTTATCATTGTATATATATTTATGAATGGTTCATTTTTTCATTTTAGAATCCCCATAGACACAAACGTACACACATGGCTGCTTCCTTTTTATGCACCCATGACACTCATATATAAGATAGAGCTGATATCTCTCCATGTGAATAACTAGAATGCAAAAACTTGACATATTCAGAAATGATTTTATTCAGTTTGCCCTTCCAATCTTAAACTCTTAGTTCCTTACCTCCTCCTCCTCAGAAAGAAAGACCAATGATATTCTAAGATCTGACACTAGAATCCTTATCTCTGTCAAAACTTCTTTTTTTTTTATCTTCTATCTTCTCTTTCATACCTAAATAAGCTGAAAAGGCAATTGAGGTGTACAATCAGACAAGACTTCATCCTCAATGGCAAAATTGCTCAGGAAATGACAAAAGAAACCTTCTCCTTAATAAATAACTCAGTAAACCAGCCATCTATGACATGAACAGAAGCAGCTGAGCCAATGATTTTCTCCTTATTCTTAATGGCTGGCATCAATGATTTTAATGATCACTGTCTAATGTCTTTTCAGATTTCAAACCTTTACATATATGACACAGTGCTTCTGCTTGCTAATGCTTTTCATAAGAAGCTGGAGGACCGAAAGTGGCACAGCATGGCAAGTTTGTCATGTATCCGAAAGAACTCGAAGCCTTGGCAGGGAGGGCGTTCAATGTTGGAGACCATCAAGAAGGTAACCTCTGATAAGCATTTTACTCTTCTTAATTTTCATGTGAAAAGGATACAGTAAATCACTGTTTGATGAGATATCTTTTAGAAGATTTTTTTTCTTCACTAATATTACTGCCGATTTAAAGCACAGCAGTGCAATGGAAAAATAAAATATTAAAAAAGAAAAAGATCAGAGGGTCACAAACATGTATAAAAAAGGGGGACCATTATTTAATTGTAAGGGAATTTTATGCAAGTAAAATATTGGTGGTTGAGATATTTTAAATTGCCTTGGCTATGTCATTAGCATTAGAGATACTCAAATTATTTGGGTTCCTATCACAAAGTACAAAAACCATTTTTTTAAAACCCACACCTTCAACTATAAAAATTAACAGTAAACTTAGTTAGCATTTTTTTACTTAGATGATACAGAGTAAAATGTTGTATGTGATGACCCTTAATTTATCTTTCCATAAAGATATTATTTGCAAATAGCTAATATGTTGCAGCATTTTCAACTATTTTAGATACTTGATTGCATTATTTTTCTTCACTGCCAATACGTTGCTTAGCCTAGCTATGATCTTTTTGGCTTAGCTACCTGTTCCATTCCCAGAAGGCAGTTTATGTTGTTTAGCTCCTCTCAGTGGTATAAGCATTATGCAGTTTATTAGCCTCTTTGTCATGTCATCTTTGCTGACACTTTTCATTTGTCTTGCACAGCTTCTTGGATTTAAAATGAAATGATTAATAAAATAAACAAATTCTCCTGTATCCTTTACACAAAGGAGACAGGCATTTGGAAGTTTATGTTTTTTTAAATTTTACCTATCCTTTTCCTTTCTGCATGTGTTTGTCTTTTACTCCCAAAACACAAAGAAAAATAGCTAGCTAAATGAAATGTGAAAGCATTTAGAAAAGTTAGAGAAAAAAACTAAAAATTTGATATTAGAAGTGAATTAGATATGAAAAAACAAAACCGAGGAAGCTGTGGAAAGATACATTTCAAATGGAGAATAGCTTGGATCTTTCTCTTGGCACTTGTCTTAGTCCCTTTTCTGCTGCTCTAACAGAATACCACAGATTGGGAAATTTATAAAGAGAAGTATTTTGGCTCATGGTTCTGGAGGCTGGGAAGTCCAAGACCATGGCGCCAACATCTGGTGAAAGTTATCCCATGGCAGAAGGGTATCACATGGCAAGCAAGCCATGAGAGGAAAGGGAGGCTGAAATGACTTTATAACTAATCCACTGCCATCATAAGGGCATTAATCTGTTCATGAGGGTGGAGCTTTCATGGTCCAATCACCTTTAAAGGTCCCATCTCTTAATACCATTAGAAAGGCAATTAAATTTCAACATGAATTTTGGAAGAGACGTGAAATTATAGCATTCCACCCCTCCTCCCCCAATAAAAAAAACAGATGTCCCTCTCATATAAAATACATTCATTTCTTCTAGGTAGTCCAAAAAGTTTGAACTTGCTTCAGCATCTACTCAAAAGTCCAAATTCTAGAGTCTCAACTAAATCAGATATGAGTGAGACTCAAAGCACAATTCATCATGCTGCAAATTATTTCTAGCCATGAGCTTCTGAAATCAAAACAGGTTATTTACTTCCAAAATATAATGGTGGAACAGGTATAGGACAGACATTCCTATTCCAAAAGAGAAAAATAGGCAAGGAAAGAGGGGTAACTGGTCCCAAGTAAGATCAAAACCCAACAGAAAAAATATTAAGTCTTAACATTAGAGAATTATATCCTTTGAGCCCATGTTCTGGTTCCTGGGTACAATGGAGCAGGGATTGGGCCCATAAGTCCTCAGGCAGCCCTCCTCCAAGGTTTTGCTAGGCTTAACCTATGCAACTTTCACAGGCTGGAGGTACATGCTGATAGTTGTACAGTTCTGTGGTCTTGGGGTGGCCTTACCTCCATGGGTCTGGTAGGCGTTGCCCTAGTGGAAACTCTCTGAAAGCTCTGATCCCACATTTCCTTTCAGCATTGTCCTACTAGGGGCTTTCTGTAGTGGCTTCACCCTGGAGACAAGTGTCTTCCTGGGTCCCCAAGCATATCATGACATCCTTTGAAATCTAAGTGGAGGGAGCCATACCCCCATAGTTCTTCATTCTGTGTACTACAGAGTTAGCACCACATGGATGCTGCCAAGGCTTACAGCGTGCACCCTCTGAAGTGGCATCCCAAGCCATACCTGGGCCCACTTCAGCAGCCCGGGGAAGCTGAGGAATGTTACACTGGAATGTTACAAGCAGACACTTGAGGTGGCCTTGCACAGAGAGCCCCTGGAGAGCACCCTGGACCCATGCCCTAAAACCATTCTTCCCTTCTAGAGCTCCAGGCCTGAGATGGCAAGGACAGCCTCAAAGATTTTGAAATGCCTTTGGGATCTTTCTCCCACTGTCTTGACAAATAGCACATGGCTCCCTTCTACTTGTATGAACATCTTTTGCAAACAGTTGCTTGGCGGCACCCTTAGTATTCCTCTTCTGAACATGCTTTTTCACTCCTTCCATAGCAAGGTTGCAAATTTTTCAAATCTTTCCAACTGTTCGTCTTTAAATTACAAATTCTATTTTTAAGTCATTTCCTTTCTAACATATTTTACTGTATGTGGTTAAAAGTAGCCACACAGCAGCCTGAATGCTCTGCTGCTTGAAATGTATTCAGCCAGATATCCTAGTTCATTGCCCTTAGGGTCTGCATTCCGTAAAGTCCTGCCTGTGACATGGACACAATTCAGCCAAGGTCTTTGCTACTTTGTAACACGGATAACCTTTAATTTACTTTTTAATACCTTATTTCTCATTTCTGTCTGAGATCTCATCAGAATGAACTTTACTGCCCATATTTCTATCAACATCTGGTAACAATCAATTAAGTAAACTCTAAGAAGTTCCAGACTTTCCCTACAGCTCTTTTCTTCTCAACCTTCTCTAGAATTTTCCCTAATGCTCCATTCACATCCATATAGTCTTTATGTAGCCTACTCCTCCAGATTCTTCCAGCCTCTACCCATTATTCCGTTTCAAAACCACTCCACATTTTAAGGTAGTTGTTACACCAACAGCCTCATTACTTGCGATTGATTTTCTCTCTTAGTTCATTTTCTCCTGCTAGAATACCACAGACTGGGTAATTTATAAAGAACAGAAGTTTATTTGGCACATGGTTCTGGAGGCTGGGAAGTCTAACAGCATGAGGCCAGCAGCTGGGGAGGGTCATCCCATGGCACAAGGACATCACATGGCAAGAAAACACCTGCGAGAGAAAGAAAAAGGGGACAAAACTCTAGTGATAACAAGCCCACTCCTGTGATAATGGCATTAATTCATTCATGGGGGCAGAGCCCTCATGACATAATCACCTCTTCATGGTCCCATCTCTTAATATCATTACAATGGCAATTAAATTTCAACATGGTTTTGGAGAGGACTTTCAAACTATAGGAGTACTGTTTTCTCTTTGCAAAAGAATCACCTTAATGAGAATTTAGGATATTATCAATACAAGCACTTGAGAATTAAATGTATTGACTATATTGGCAGAGAAAGATTTTTCAGCTGAAAATAAATAAGTCAAATGTATACTCAAGGTGTTGCCAAAATCTTCTAGCTTTATCTATGTAGAGAACTGGCAGGTGTGAATCCAAGGGAGGTTGTTGAACATGATTTTGATACTGCTAATTTATTAATTTATGGTTTGGCTAGGATGCAGGCACCTGAATATATTTATTCTTCTGAAGCCTTCATACAAATACAGAATAATAGTTTAGAAGGTTGCTTATGAGACACTTATTTAGTGAGAGTATCAGTAGAAAGGAGACGCCATAGTATGTCAGTATTTCTCATGCAGCAATTCTATATAATATGCTGCTCTGAGAATATCCATAATCAGTGGGAACAGAGCAAGATGGCTAAATAGAAACCTCCAGCGATCATCCCGCTGCACAAACACCAAATTCAACAACTATCCACACAAGAAAGCACCTTCAGAAGAACCCAAAAAGTCAGCTGAGCAATCATACTACCTAGTTTTAACATTATATCAAGGAAAGAGATACTGAGCAGGGAAGAAGAGACAGTCTTATTATATTGCCTACACCACCCCTCCTCCATTCCCTGGCAGTGCTGCACCTGCACGCCCAGTGGAGAGAGAATCCGTGTGCCTGGGGAAGGGAGAGTGAAGTGATTGTGGGACTCTGCATTGAAATCTAGGTCGCACTGGCACAGGGGAACACAGCATAGAGCAGAATTTGGCTGGTACCCATGAAGGAGCATTTGCACCAGCCCGGCCAGAGAGAAACTATCTACCCACAAACCTGAGTTCTGGCTAGCCCCACTGACTGACAAAAAGTAGCCTGGGAACTAGACTAAATTCATAAAGCAGTTGGGCCACAAAGGCTGTAGTCCTTGGGTAATTCTTTTGGATATGCTGGCTCAAAGCCAGTGGACTTGGGGTGCACATGACCCAGTGAAACATCAACGGTAGTGGGCAAGCCAATGCTTGCATAACTCCCCCCTACCACCCCAAACTACAGGCAGTGTGGCTCAGGAAGTCTTTTTCCACTTGGGGAAAGGAAAGGAAAAAGTTCAGAAGACTTTGTCTTGCAACTTGGGTACCAGCTCAGCCACAATAAAATAAAGTACCAAGTAGACTCCTGAAGACCCTGAGCCCAGGCCTTAGTTTTTAGAAGGCATTTCGGAAGCCATCCTGGGCCTGATGCTTCCCTGAAGGGAAAGACCTAGTCTTGGCAGGATTTACCATCAACTGACTAGCCCTTGAGTGTTGAATAAACATCAGAGGTAGCCAGGCAAAAGTCACCATGGGCTTTGGGTGAAACTGGGCTAGCTTCACGTATAACTTGGTGCTGGTAGCCATAAGGATGTACACATATCACTCCTTCCCCAACTCCAGCAGCCCAGCACAGTGTGTGAGAGAAGAGGATGAGATAATTTGCCTGGTAATTCAGGGAATTCTCCTGTATCTTACTCAAGTCCAT